AGAGAGAGAGAGAGAGAGAGAGAGAGAGAGAGAGAGAGAGAGAGAGAAAGAGAGAGAGAGAGAGAGGAATGGAGAGGGAGAGAAGGAGGTTAGAACATTGCTTAGTGAGCATGCACAGCAAATAATCACAAGAAAAGGAGTTCACATGGCAATGGGATTGTTTTACAACTTGATTGGTTGTAATGCTGAGTATATGGGATTAATGTGTAACTTTTCAATATATGATGGTATATAAATATTACATGTATATATACATGCTTAAATACTTACATAAGAAAGAATGTGCAGCAAATCTCCACTAAAGGCCAAATGCTGAAACAGACATGTGGGATTCGAAGAACAGTGAGAAAGTAGTAGGTAGACAAGATGGCAGAGCCTGGATCAGTCACTTACTGACTTTTGCAAGCTCCATTCATAATCACTGTCATAACAGCATTTAGACATTCATAAGCCACAATAACTCACTGTAAACATATAATGCAACTATTTCACTGTGCTTGTGAAAACATACGTTGGACCTATTCTGTAAGATTTTGTCCTTTGATTTATTCGTTAGCACATTTTTTTTCTTTTCAGTTTAACTGTATTGCCTTTAAAAATTCATTGTTATCTCTGAGGGTTTGCTCTGTCTTGTTCAGGTCTCCATAACCCCTTTCCATACAATCACCCCCAGATAGTTCAGTGTCCATCTCTAGGAGTTAACTGATCTCTCCTTTCCTAATTGGGGAGGGGTGTTAAGTTGTCAGCGAGATTGCTGAGTGCCAGATACCGCTATGTCTCTGACAGCCTGATTCTTCCCTTTGCTCTTAGTGAAACAGAAAGATCCTTCAGCAGCATGAGGCTTCTGAGCTGAATGAGAACCCAGTGACTGTTTCCAATCAACAAGCTCTCCAAAAAACAGCTTCCAAATTGCCTTCAGCCCCTCGCTCCATAGATATGCTAGTTGCTTACTAATGAAGTTGAACTGAATGGATCCTTAGCAGTTCTCATTCACAGAATGAAATCGAAGTGCTCTGTGCATTCAGAAGAACTGCTCCTTACCACAAGAGTTCAGCTATCAGGTAAGAACCTGAGAAACCTGGAGAAGATTTCAGAACTTCCACAAGCGCTGAGATGAGCTCTGGTGGGACATTTTACAACGAAGAGGATGCGGAAGAAGATTGAGAGTGATTAGACTGTCAACTGAGTCACAACACTTCAAAAGGGCAGGTTTTTAAGTACCTACTATATGTATTGGTCAAGGTAAGCACATAACACAGGTATCATTGTCCTCAGTATGCACATTCCTCCTTCCTTGAAATTTGCAATGATATTTCTTATTGTTGTTTAGTTGATCTGATAACATGGTAATGAATCATCATAAAAGAATAAAATTGAAATCATCATTTTAGAAGCTAATAAAATGTTACAAGTGGGTGAAATTTACAAAGGCAAAAATGGCTAGCATAGCAGGAATGTTTGATAAATGTCATGACCATAAAGTACTGAAAAAGAAATGATAAGAAACACCCACCTAGTACATACATTACCACTACTGGAGGCAATCACCTGTCATGTCCCTTACCTTGCTGAAAACATGGCCCCATTATGTACATTACCCTACTGTCTTAATTAGGGTTACTACTATTGTGAGGAGACACCATGACCATGGCAACTTTTATAAAGGGAAACTTTTAACTGGGGCTGTCTTACAGGATCAGAAGTTTAGTACATTACAGTTATGACGGAGAACATGGTAGCACACAGACATGATCCTGGAACTGAGAAATCTACATCTGCTTCAGAAGGCAGCAGGAAAAGAGAAAGAGACTGGGCCTGACTTGAGCATTTGAAACTTCAAAGCCCACCCCCAGTGACACACTTACTCCAAAAAGGCCTCGCTACCTCAACAAAATCATCCATCCTTATATTGCCACTTCCTGGTGAGCAAGCATTCAAATCTATACTCCTACAGGGTCTTACCTATTCAAAGCACCACATTCCACTCCCTGGCCCTCATAGACTTGTAGCCACATCATAATGCAGAAACACATTCAGTCCAACTCCAAAAGTAGTTGTGATCTGTAACAGTCTCAACACTGTTTAGAAGCCAGAAGTTCAAAGTCTCTTCTGAGACTGAGAGCAATCTCTTAACTCTAACCCTCTGTAAAATCAAAATGAAAAATCAGATCGCGTACTTCCACCATACAATGGACCAGGAAATACATTACCATTTCAAAAGGGAGAACAGAAGCCCTGTAAGGAAATACTGAACCAAAGTAAAAAAAAGAAAAAACAAACAAACAAAAAAAACCTACCAGAACAAACTCCAAACTGTGCTGTTATCAAAGCACTGTTCAATACTCCAACTCTTTTTTTTTTTTTTTCTTATTGACTGCAACACACGTCTTTCTCTTGGGCTGGCTCCACTCACTGTTAACCTCCTCGGCAGATGAAACACACTCTAACATCTCCACATTGTGGGGTCTCCAAGGCAATCCAGGGTTCAGCTTCACAGATTCGTGCAATGGCCTCTTTAGACCTACACGCAGGGACACCCCTGACATAGGCTTGGCCTCAGCAGTTTGTTTTTGTTTGTTTGTTTGTTTTTAGTTGTGAAGTGAGGTTCTATCCCCTTTCTTCTATCCCTGACTCTAAAGCAAGAACCTTGTGGCCAAAGCTGCCATGTTCTACCACTTACTGAGGCTGAAAAAATGACCTCCGTTGTTCAAATATATTTTCACCAGATTTCTGTCTTTCACTACGTAAGATTGACTGTCCTGAATATCACTCTATAGACCAGGCTGACCTGGAACTCAAAGAACTGGCTTCCTTTGCCTCCTGAGTGCTGGGATCAAAGGCATGCTCCACCAAACTAAGACGGCCATAGCTTTTCTTTAATTCCTTTTCACAAGTTGAAAGTTTAGCTGGGTGAGGTCTTTCCCTGGGATCACCACTCCCTTTAGTACATTTAGCATCAGGTTTCTCTTTAAACTTTTTATCTTCCTGAGCATTGGACTTAGACTGCATTACACTTTCTCCTTTTATCCTCAAACTGTATACATAATTTGCCTTTTTCCTTACTCAGCTTGCTCCTTCTCATTATAGATCTGCATAAGCATGGTCACTAATAACCAATCAAGAAATTCAAAACTAGGCTACTGGAAATCTTCTTAGCCAAAGCTACTAATCCATAACTCTTCAAATTAGCCTCAGGCAGTTTTCTTTGACAAGGTCAGAAAGCAGCCACATTATTCATCAATATATCCAATATATTACAAGAAAGGTCTCTAGGCTACTTACTAATATTCCTTTCCTCTAAAACCTTGTGAGCTGGCCTATAAGAGTTCAAATCACTCTCAGTACCACTCTCAATCTTTCATGCTGTTACTAATATAACCCATTAAGCTCCACTTTAAGCATCCAACTGCTTTCCCAATCCAAAGTCTCCAATAAGAAACATTGTCAAGCCTGTCATAACACTACCCAAGTCCCTGGTACCAATTTCTATCTTAGTCAATGTCCTATTGCTGTTAAGGAACACCATGACAATGGCAAATCTCATAAATAAAAACATTTAGCTGGGGCTATCTTACAAATTCAAAGATTTAGTCCATTATAGTCATGGTGGGAAGCAAGGAGGCACACAAGCAGACATAATGTTGGACAAAAAGCTGAGGGTTCTTACATCTGGATTGGCAGACAGCAGGAAGAGAGATAAAGAGACACTGGACCTGGGTTGAGCAGTTGAAACCTAACTCACCCTGCCTCACCCTGTGGTGAGAATTTGTTTGTTTATTTGTTTTAAACAACAAAAAAAAAGCTTGACTGAAAATCAGAGTGCAGAGCTAAGCCACTAGAAACCAGGCAGTGATAGCACACATCATTAATCTCAGGACTCAGGAGACAGAGGCAGACAAATCTCTGTTAGTTTAAGGCCACCCTGGTCTACACAAAATTAATCCAGTCTAAAAGAGAAACAAAGCTCACATGGGTGATCCCAGCACTTGGGATCACATGCCTTTAATCCCATCACTAGGCAGGTGGAGACAGGAGTGATATGTCTGGGCAGCAAGGATAGTATAGGATGGGAGGAGAACAGAAGCTCAGAGCCCTCTGAGGCAGCAGTCTGAAGCAGTCAGTTTGAGGAGCAGTCTGAGGAGGCAGTCTGAGGACAGGATCACCCTTTTGGTCTGAGCAGTGATTGGCTGCTTTGCCTCTCTGATCCTTCAGCTTTCACCCCTTATAACTGATCTGAGTTTTTCTTAAGAACATTTAGAATTCATGGTACATTACTCTTTCACCTGAACCAATCAACAAAACTCTCTATGTAGGGTTTTTCCTTGGGTGTGAGACCTTTGACTTTAAACTATTGAATCTAAAGTTCTGATTCTTTCCATTATAGTGTGTCACTGCCACTAATATGCAAAGTATTCCTGAACAGATCTTCCTAACATGTGCTCATAAACAGATAAAGAATCCAGAGAAAATGAGATATTTACTACATCCTGTGATAAATCAATAATAATATTTAGCTGTGGAAATTAGGTAATTATAAAATTTACTCCACGTTAATCTTTACTCATCCTTTGAAGCAGGTTGTTTCTATTTATTTTATATAGAAATAACTCAAAATTATCCTCATTCTAAATTTACATGTTAATTACAACTGCTATTTAATTAGATCGTATACATAAATTTAAATAGAAAGAGAGAAAAATATGTCTAAGCTTATGATTTGAGATTCCAAAAGGAAAATAACTCAAGAATTAGGAATCTCACCTTAAAAAGCTAATTTACTTTAAAAATAATAATAATCTGAAAGAAATGTTGGAGTAAATGCTCAAAAGGCAATGAGGGTTACACAAAGTGTTTGATGACCATAGGCTCCCCCCGATACTTAAATATAAATGCTTAAGTAACATAATCACTAGGAAAAATGTACCACCAAGCTTAATTATCTTGATATACATTATATAATTAATTTTGATTCAAAACACGAAGCAAAAGACAATATTGCTGTGGAAGAATCTTTGTACACTGTTAATATGTATTACTTTCATTGGTTAATTCAAGAGCAGACTGACCAATATCTGAACAGGCAGAGGTTTGGTAAAGCTTGCAGACAAGAAGAGAGCATGGGATAGAAGAAAGGAGGAGTCTCAGAGAGTCATGAGGAGACTCAGAGGAAAAGAAGATTAATACGCTGTGTTGAAAAACATAATACCACATGGAAGAGGGTAGATAAGAAATATAGGCTATTTAAGATGTAAGAGCTCATTAGTAACAAGCCTATGCTATAGGCCAAATATTTATAATTAACAATTAGTCTCTGTGTGTTTATTTGGGGGGAGCCGGTTGGACAGAACTTATCAGTGGTCCCTACAGAAAACTCTGCCGACGCAACATTTTTTATAACAGCATAAAATGTTCAAAACACACAAAGTTACATTTATCAATAGGGTAGCACAAAGTGAACAAAGGTTGGAGAGATGCTCAGGAGTTAAGAGTGTGTACAGCTCTAGTAGAGGACCTGAGTTCAGTACCCAGAAGTTACAAAGTGCTTACAACTGCCTGTAACTCCAGTTCTAACTTATCCAATGCCTTCTCCTGGCCTCAGGGCTACTACACTCAAGGGCACACACCCACACATGTATATGTACATATAATTAGAAGATAAAGTAAATCTCTAAAAGAAGACCAAAAAACAAACGAGGAGAAGAAAAAATGGAAAAGAATATTAGAAATAGAATTGGCAAAAGAATGGAAAATTCTGGAAGGACTTCAGCAGACTAGGCAAAGACATGGAAAGGATCGGTGTGCTTGAAGACACCTCAGCAGATTGGTACATCCCAGCATTCAAGTGGTGGGAGGCCAAGGCAGAAGGAATCGAAATATAATCTAACATGAGTAACATGTTAAGTTCAGGCCCTTCCTGTGCTACAAAACAAATAAAAATCAAGGAAAAGGAAGGAAGGAAGGCCAGCAGACAGGAAGGCCAAAATTAAAAGGAAAGTGTCTAAGTTGTTTCAGATAAGGAAAACTTTGGAAGAAACAAAATTACCAAGAACAAAAAAGGATATTTCATAATGATCAAAAGAATCAATTAGGGCTCCACCCGGCTAGCTTCTCCGCCAGCCATCCCAGCTTCCATCCAGAGGGCCTTTGGAGTGGTGAGTTGATTCGGGCCCGTGGCAGGGGCCCGGCGAGGGGGAGCTAGGACTCTCCCCGACCCCATAGACTCCCAGGTCAGCCTGCTCTGCTGGCTCCACCCTGCTAGCTTCCCCACCAGCCATCCCAGCTTCCATCCAGAGGGCCTTCGGAGTGGTGAGGTGATTCGGGCCCGC